ACAACAACCTCGGAAAGTGCCAAAGCGGTAACGGCCACACAGACTGGAATGGATCGCTACATCCAAATTAAGCGCAAGCTTAGCCCGCAGAGTAATCCGGCAGGCAACAAAACAAAAATTAACCGTGTCCTGAATATCGATAAAGAACTAGACAGATCCACTACTAACAGATTTGCCCTACTGGCGGAGGTTGAGGAAAACCAACCAGCCCTCCAATCTATATTAGGGAAAAAAGCTCGAGTGCCCTGGTCAACAAAATTGCGTCGTTGATCGGGAACGGTGACAACTTTCATGTTGTTCCGCTTATCAAAGGGAACATCCATGAAACAAAGGTGCAAACCAAGTCTGAAGAGCACTTCCGAATCGTGTCCAAATATCTGGACACTGTACAGAAAAACTATTACACGTACCAGCTGAAAAGCAGTAAGGGCCTACAAGTGGTAGTAAAGGGAATAGAACCTGATGCTACCGCCGCGGAAATAAAAACCGCCCTTAAAGAAAAGGGCTTCGCCGCCAAGAATGTTATTAACATTCTAAATAAAGATAAAAAGCCACAACCCCTCTTCAAGGTCGAGCTCGAGCCAGAAAGCAGGTCGCTGAAGAAGAACGAAGTCCACCCAATCTACAACCTGCAATATCTTTTGCATCGGAAAATCACTGTTGAAGAGCCACATAAACGCAACGGTCCAGTGCAATGCACTAACTATCAAGAGTATGGACACACAAGGTCTTACTGCACACTTCGGGCTGTCTGTGTAGTCTGCGGGGACGCCCACAAGTCCGTTTGCTGCACTACAAACAAGGACAGTACCGTGAAGAAATGTGGAAACTGCGGAGGCAGCCATACAGCAAACTATAGAGGATGTATGGTGTATAAGGAGTTAAAGAGTCGCATGCGTTAAGCGACCGCAAAGCGCAACCAAAATCCACAGAATGCGTACATTGCGTCAAAAACTATGCCAGACGTCTTCTTCGCCAAAGCTGCGAGATCCTCATTCGGTCCACTAAACACCACCAACGGCTTCTCCTAAGCCGATGCTCTACGATCTGGAAGGGAAATTCCAATTCAGCCTTACTCTCAAAGCGCTCAACAGGCCCCAGAACAGCCACACAGCAAAATGGAAACTATGATGCTTACCCTCCAACAAAGTATGATGGAGCTTATGTCATTCATGAAAACGACCATGCAAACGCTTGTTCAAAACCAGAACATGGTGATACAGCTGCTCGTAGCACAACAGTCTAAATAATCTATGCAGGCGCTACGAATATCAATGTGGAACGCCAATGGTGTCTCACGGCATAAACTAGAATTATCATAATTTTTGACCGAAAACCATATTGACGTTATGCTACTGGTGGAAACGCATCTTACAAGCAAATACAACTTTCATATAAGAGGCTACACAATCTACCGCACAGATCATCCAGATGGGAAAGCCCACGGCGGAACTGGAGTTCTAATCAGAGAACGCATTAAACACCACTTTCACAAAAGGTTTGCAAAAAATTTCTTGCACGCCACATCGATACAAATTCAGTCAAGCAACGGAATCCTTTCAATCGCTGCTGTTTACTGCCCTCCTCGTTTCGCCATCTCGGAAGGACAATTTATGGACTTCTACAATTCACTTGGGGATCGATTTATAGCCGCAGGAGACTACAGCGCCAAACATACGCACTGGGGATCACGTGTAGTGACTCCCAAAGGAAGACAAATGTACAATGCAATTATAAATGTGAAAAATAAACAGGACTACGTTTCCCCTGGCAGTCCCACATACTGGCCAACAGACTCACGAAAGCTCCCAGACCTTATTGATTTTGCAGTGACAAAAAACATACCTCGCAATCTAATAAGTGCCAAAGCAGTCTCGGACTAATCATCAGACCACTCGCCTGTGCTTCTAACGCTTCTTCAAAGCCTAGAAATAACCGAACACCCCTTCAGCCTGACGACGCCAAAAACGAACTGGCTAAAATACAAAAAGTACGTGAGTGCCCACATAGAACTCGCCCCGGAATTTAGCCTGGAATCGGACATCGACTACACTACGAGCGCCCTGGAAGAAGTACTCGTTGCGGCAGCTAAAATCTCTACTCCTCATAGGAAAGAAGTAGACCGAAACAAACACTTCAAATCTAATCAGCAAATCGAACAGCTCGTGCGAGAAAAGAGGCGCACGCGTCGTGATTGGCAAAACAGCAGATCACCAGCTTCAAAACAACGCCTTAAGGAAGCAACCCGATCACTCGACCAGGCTCTTCACCAACAGGAAGAAAATGCACAGCTGAGGTACATCCAGAATCTCTCGCCAACAAGCACAAAGTACCCCCTGTGGAGGGCCCACCCAAATCTTAGTGCCCCAATTGAAACGACCACCCCGATAAGAAACTCTTCGGGATGCTGGGCTCGCAGCAACGAAGACCGAGCTGAAACATTCGCCACACATCTCCAAAGTGTCTTCCAGCCAAACCCAGCTTCAAATTCATTCCTCCTGCCAGAAATTCAGCCAGAGTCCTCCCCTCAGCCAGCCGTACCTTCATTCCGGCCGAACGTAATTGAAAAAGTCATAAGAGGGCTAAAACCAAAAACAGCTCCCGGCTGTAACCTATTGACCCCAAAGATGCTGATCGAACTTCCAAAATGCGCTTAGAGGTCGTCTGCAAACTATTTAATAGAATCATTAATCTTGGCTATTTCCCCAAAAAGTGGAAGAAATCCATCATTATAATGATACTGAAGCCTGGAAAAGACCACACAATTCCGTCATCATACAGACCAATAAGCCTTCTATCTTGTTTGTCTAATTTGTTTGAAAAATGCTTGTTAACTCGCATAATACCATATCTGGAAGCTTGCAATATTATCCCGGCACACCAATTTGGCTTTCGAAGAAACCATGGAACCATCGAACAAGTGAACAGATTAACATCCGAAATACGCTCAGCCTTCGAACAGCGAGAATACTGCAGCGCTATTTTCCTCGACGTATCTCAAGCTTTCGACCGAGTTTGGCTCATCGGACTCATGCACAAAATTGAAACGTATTTGCCAACATACACCCACAAGCTACTGGAATCATACCTCTACAATAGGGTATTCTTAGTGAGATGCAACGCAGCTACTTCGGGCGACTACACCATCGAAGCTGGAGTTCCACAAGGAAGCGCACTCGGCCCGTGTCTATATGTTTTGTATACTGCGGATATTCCTACGAGCGCACAACTAACAACCTCAACGTTCGCCGACGATCCCGCTATCCTTAGTCGCTCCAGATGCCCAACGCAGGCAACAACCCAACTGGCTAATCATCTCACAATAGTGGAAAGGTGGCTGTCCGACTGGCGCATTAAAATAAAAGAAAAAAAGTGTAAACATATAACGTTTACTCTTAATAGACAAACATGCCCTCCGCTTTTACTAAACGGTATGCAGATCCCTCAAGCTAACGACGTAACGTACCTTGGCGTTCACCTTGATAGACGACTTACCTGGCGCAAGCACATCGAATGCAAAAAGATGCAAAAAGATGCACCTAAAACTGAAAGCCAGCTAACTCAAGATATAGTCATATAAGTGGACTACTAATTTTCTTTAGCCAACTTTGTAAAGCAGTGATGCTTGGAACTATATATACGAGTACAGGTTCATACCTACATAAAATATGAGGTAAATTACGAAAAAATTGTATATATGTAGGTATAACAAATATTTTAAAATATTCTTATTCTGCACGTGCAAGAAAAATTTTAAAAAATACGACACGACACTTGTCCTGTAAGAATAGTTTTTAATTTTAATGTGAAGTGTTATCAGATACCACAGTGCAACAGTAATTTGGAACTTTTAAAGTTTTTTTAAACCAATTTTTCAGTAAATTAGTCATCAGCACAATATCGACGCATTTCCGCGAAAGTATCGTATGTTGAAAAATCCAATTTTACAGGAGAAGCTTTTTTTTTATTTCATCTCTTACAAACAATAAGCAAAATCATAAGATGTTTAAGGGATTAGAAACATTTGTTATTGTATTTCTTTATTTTTGTGCATTTGAAGTATTTTCATGCAAAAAATTTGTATGGACATACGATAATTTCGCGCGCAGATTGAAAAGCACTGTAACATACGATAAAATTGAAACTTAATTTTTATCGCAACTATAGGGTTTTCAGTTATAATATTTCACAGGGTAGTAAGACATTAGGTGCCTAACAATTTTTCATTCAAATCTCAATTTCGAAAAAAGGCGACTTACGATACTTTCGCGGAAATGCGTCGATATGTCGAATATAGCACAAAACCGTGTTTAAAATATTTCTAACACCCTTAACATCTTGTTTTTTTTAGAAAAACCATTTTTCGGGACTTTTTTGCGCTTAAAAATTTATAAGCGCGTAATTTTAAACCGATCTTAAATTTTCCGACGTTTAATTTTTTATAAACAAAAAGGATACAATTTTTACACAAGAAACTGACATTTTTTTCGGACTTTGACGCCATTTTTTTTATGAACGCGTGTGTTCATTATGATGTGTTCTTTTATAATGAACACGTGCTGGCAGAAATAAATGTATATACATACATACAAAAATATTTATGTATTTTTGGTCTTGTACTTTTATTTGTTCATTTTCCTAGAACATAATGGCAAAAAAATATGTCACTATGTCAACGACATATCTCTGCGCGGATGTACACACATACATATGTGGCGGTTGAAACGCCACTCTGCTTAAAAAAAATGGAACTTTCTTCATTTAAATGAAATTGTATTACTCATTTTATCTAAAACCCTGTCAAGATAGTCGGTGTTTTTAAAATTTAAATCAATCAACATGCATATGTAGCACCCTGAAGCAAATATAATGCAAAATTTTAGTGATGCTGTTTTTTGTTGCAGCCTTGTATATTTTGAAATCTATTAAGTCTATCCAAGCTTTATTGTGCTTAAAAAATAACCCAATTTCATTTAAAGTATAATTTTTGAAAGACTCACATTCGCAAATGGGAGCTTCTGCACTCCATTCGCCGCTGTCTAGGCACTCTAGATCCGGAATACCGTGCATGATGTGTCCAGGGTCGCAGGTATACTTTATCTTGGAGTGGACGTTGTAGTCATAGCCCACGACGTATGAGCCAGGTGGCACTGGAGGCATTTCGCATGTGACCAGTTCACAGACAGGGGCTTCCCCTGACCACTTTCCATCCCTGGTGCAATAAAGCTCCGTCGGCCCGTCGAGCCAGTGATCCTCGTCGCACTCGTACTTGACCACCGACCCCACAGTCGTGGTGGCGTTTAAAAGGATGGAGGTTCCTCGGTCTGGACGTGCTGGGGCTCCACAGTCCACAAATCGGCAAGACGGAGTTTTGCTTGACCACTCACCTCCCAGTCCGCAAGAGATAATCTAAATCGGAAAAACGGATATAATGGTAGAAAAAACCCATAATAACAAGGACAACAAGAAAGAAAAGCTAACTTCGGGCGGAGCCGAAGTTTAAATACCCTTGCAGTTAAAACCGGATATATATCGCAAACATCGGATATAGTTGGACGATCCTTATGGGAATATGAATATATAATCCAATTTATTACAATACAAAATCAAAAAAAGTCCCAAACTTCTATCTTCAAACATACCAAAGTTGGTATTTCTACCAAAAACCATTTCCGATCGTTCAGTTATATGGCAGCTATAAGATATAGTCGGCCGATCGTTATGAAATTTGGTAGGTCGGATCAACTGACCAACATATAATCTGTACCAAGTTCCAGCTTTCTATCTTCAAAAACACGAAAGTTGGGTCATTTCCGATCGTTCAGTTATATGGCAGCTATAAGATATAGTCGGCCGATCCTTACGAAATTAGGCATGTCGTATTATTTTACCAATAATAGCGTTCATGTAAAATTTGAACTTTCTCACTCAAAAACACCGAAGTTATACCATTTCCGGTCAATCAGTTTTATGGCAGCTATAGGATATAGTCGGCCGATTCCGGTCGTTCCGACTTATATACTGCGTGCAAAGGAAAGAAGGGTGTGTGCAAAGTTTCAAGTCGATAGCTTTAAAACTGAAAGACTAGTTTGCGTAGAAACAGACAGACGGACAGACAGGCGGACAGACGGACATGCTCATATCAACTCAGGAGGTGATCCTGACCAAGAATATATATACTTTATAGGGTCGGAGATGTCTCCTACACTGCGTTGCATACTTTTGACCAAAATTATAATACCCTCTGCAAGGGTATACAAATGAGCAAGGACAAGGACAAAATAAGCACATACCGCCTCACCAACCAGTACATAACCCAGATCACATTCGTAGGTGGCCGTGGACCCAGCTCGCTTCTCGTTGAAACTCACGTTGCCTCCAGTAATGGGCTGGGGGTCTGGACACCAGTCCACCAGGCATTCCGGCTGCTTGCCACTCCAGCCATCAACGTCGCAAGTTCGGTTTTCGTTGCCAATCAACGTGTAGTTTTCGTGGCAGCTATACGTAGCCACCACTCCGAAGCTGGTACGTTCCTCCGACAAGTGAATGGATCCGTACTTCAGCTCGGGCAGCTCTCCACAGTCAACATCTTTAAAAATCAAAAGTAATTATATACATTATACATTTCTCTATTGAACTTATGTTAAACCAATTTAGTTTTAAATGACGAAATACATATAATAATATAAAACAAGAGAGGAAAACTTTATTCGGGTTGTGCCGAAGTTGATATAACCCTGCTGTAAAGATCAGATATATATAACAAATAATGAATCTCGTAAGCCGTTTCTCAGAGAATTTTATTATAAAATCCCTTTTTTATGACGCAAATTTTAAAAAAACTTCGAAGATTTGGAGGTTTATTTCTGATCGTTCAATTATATGGAATCTGTAAGATATAGTCAGCCTATGCGTATAAAATTTGGTAGGTCGGATTAGTTGGTCCGAAATGTAACCCACGAAAAGTTCCATCTCTCTAACTATAACAAGAAATTCATCTTTCCCCACCATATTATTCCCGATATTCATATTTCCTCCCTTACTTTAACTAAGCTTTAAAAGTATGGATTCTCGGAAAAAAATGTGTGCTCGGAAAATAATAACTGAAGGAATTCTGAAGATATATAAATGTCTATAACTCCCCAAACAATTTGACGAATTTCGTTTTCAAATATAATAAGCCAAATAGAAAAAATAAGCCATAGAAATAGTTTTGAAAAATTTTCAATGCATATCTTCCTATACCGGCGCTACAGAAATATGCTATTTGCATGTCGAGAGAGGACGTGGTAAAAATTTGAAACAAACTTAAATTTCGTGGGTATTATAGGAGTCTTCATGCCGTTTATACGCAAAGACGGGCATGACATATCGATTATATCGACTCCGCAGCATTAACTGGAATCAGGAATATACATACTGTAGGGTCGGAAATGATTACTTCTGTATGTTGCATACATTTACACAAATACAATATACCTTTGGACACTATATACATATATAAAATATATATATTCTTGATCAGGATCACCTCCTGAGTTAATATCCGTCTGTCAGTCTTTCTGTTTCTACGCAAACAAGTCTCTCAGTTTAAAAGCTATCGACTTGAAACTTTGCTCACACCCTTTTTTCCTTTGCACGCAGTATTTAAGTCGGAACGGCTGGGATCGATCGACTATATCCTATAGCTGCCATATAACTGATTGATCAGAAATGGTATAACTTTGGTGTTTTTAAAGTTATAGAGTTCGAATTAAGCACACGACATGCCCATACGACATGCGAAATTTCATAAGAATCGGCCGACTATATCCTATAGCTGCCATATAGCTGAACGATCGGAAATGACCCAACTTTCGTGTTTTTGATGATAGAAAGCTGGAACTTGGTACACATTCTATTTTTGGTCAGTTAATCCGATCTACCAAATTTCATAACGATCGGTTGACTATATCTTATAGCTGACATATAACTAAACGATCGGAAATGGTTTTTGGTAGAAATATCAACTTTCGTATTTTTGAAGATAGAAGCTTGCGACTTTTTTTAAGATTTTTTATTGTAATTAATTGTTTTTATTATGATGTTTGCGATATATATCCGGTTTTAGCTGCAAGGGTATATCAACTTCGGCTCCGCCCGAAGTTAGCTTTGCTTTCTTGTTTTTAGATATTTTATTGTAATTAATTGGTTTTGTTATGATATTCTTATAAGCATCGGCCAACTATATCCGATGTTTGCGATATATATCCGGTTTTAAGTGCAAGGGTTTATCAACTTCGGCTCCGCCTTGTTTTTAAATAAATACGAAACATAATGTACAGGCTGCGACAGCTCTATTAGTTTTGGGGGAAATGCAGTGCTTCTGAGTAGCTGAAGTTTGTTCTTATTAAAAATAAAACTGCGTTGTCTCCGTATTAAATTTATTTTCTGGTTGTTTTTGCTAGAAGGAGTGCCCGTTACATCCGTGTCTAAAGTCGAAACATCGTTTACATCAGGGGTGGGCAAGCCCATGGCTCCTCGGGCTCTCAAGGCTCCCTCCGTTATTCGTAATTTTTGGCGTCAGCAAATCGGTCCAGACGGTCGGGTCGCGCGGCCAGTGAGTCGTGGAGATTTACAAAAACAATGCTACACAAATTTCGAAGCAGGTGCGGACCCGACTCCTCGGTCCCGAGTTTGCAACAACAAAAAATAAGGGTGGGTTTGCGCACAAGCAACTTAAAACAAAAACAATTTTAAAGCGAACTGCGCAGTTGTCGTCGACTTCTGCACTGCCAAAAAAGTTTGGAAGTCATTCTGTGCAGTGAATTCAAGACAAGTAAACGTAAAAATGGACCAAGAAATTGAAATTTTAGACTTTAAAAGGAAATATTATTTTACAAAAAACCATAAAATTAATATGATGCAGTGTTTAATTTGTGGGACTATTGTTGGACAAATGAAGTAATGATACGATAAACTACGAAAAATTAATAAGTTAAAAATTTATAAAAAATTAAATGTACTGAAACTGTTTTTGTCAGTGTATTCTTTTTGCTCGCACATTCTGTCTGGCTCGTGGCAGCGACGCATCGCGACGGAGGTGGTTGTTGTTGTAATTTGTTGTTTGGCCGAGCTGCGGCTCCGACCGTTAGATTTCGTGCCCACCACTGGTTTACATCTTTGCTTGAAAGATTCAAGTCGTCAAATCTATGAACATGGTTTTCCGGTCGTTGTCATCTGTGGTAAGCAACAAATTTTTGGCGTTTTTTAATAGTTAAATGTTGTAGCTTTTGAAAAAAAATAGATCTTTAATTTATTTAAACAAAAAGGATACAATTTGTACGCAACGAACTGACATTTTTGAATTTGTGTCGTGTTTTTCAGACTTTGACGCCATTTTTTCGGTACAATTTCTAAGAAATGATATTACTTTTGATACATATCATTATTGTCTCGATAATTTTGAATGAAACGACACCAATTTCACAAAGAAATTATGAAAATGGTTGAAGTTATAACGCTTTTCCCAAAACAAGTCAGTCCAATCTTGCTAGCGTTCCGGAGTAATAGTGGGCCCTTCTATTTCGCTTATTCCTTTCTCTTACACACTTTTACTCCGGAGCGCTAGTAAAATTGCACTGACTTGTTTTGGGAAAAGCGTTATAACTTCACCAATAATTTCCTAATGAAATTGGTCTCGTTTTATTCAGAATTGACGAGACAATATTGATATGTATCAAAAATGATACCATTTCTTAGAAATTGTACCGAAAAAATGGCGTCAAAGTCTGAAAAACACGACAAAAATTCAAAAATGTCAGTTTCTTGCGTAAAAATATCCTTTTTGTTGAAATAAATTTAAGATATATTTTTTTTCAAAAGCTACAACATTTAAATATTAAAAAACTCTACAAATTTTATAATTGGTTTAAAATTACGCGCTTAGGAATTTTTAGGAGCAAAAAAGTCCCGAAAAACCGTCTTTTCTAAATAAATCAAGATTTTGACGGTGTTAGAAAAATTTTAAACACGGTTTTATACTATACTCGACCTAAAGCATAGTACTGAGTTGAAAAATCCGCTGTCCAACGAGTGACAGCTGTCAAACTCCATATAAAAAAAAACGGTGTAAAAAAGGAAAGAAGAAGAAATTTTTGCCTTCTAGATTTTGCGGGTACTGAGTTGACGAAAATTTTTGTTATCGATTTTAATCGTGTTGCCGGATCAAAAAAAATAAACAGCTGCTCTCGGGGAGTTGAAAGAAATAATTTCATTTATTTCTATAGGTGTGACATGGAGGGTCAATTGACCAAACAAAAAAATAGTCGGCCCGAAAAATTTTTGACGCGCCAGGACAAATTAAAATTAATTTCTGCGGTCAAGGCGAAGCCCATAATATGGGATTTGACCCACAAGGGGCATTTTAATTCCATAAAATGGCATTGAAATGATTTGTAATTGATTTTTATTTTGATTTTGACCCAGTTTTCTATTTCGTAATCAGCTCCTTAGCGGCGAAATACATAAACAAAACACCAACATCCAATTGATTTGAATTCATTTTGATTATTGGTTTTTGTTTACAAACAACAACTGTTCAGTATTACCTTATTTCTTCATTTTTTTGGTCACACTACCTCGGTAGTTGAATAAAGTGCGAAATCGCTATCAGAATTTCAACAGCGGATCTTCGTCAACTCAGTACTATGCTTTATGAAAAATTCCTACTAGGTCTCTTCAAAAGTTCCAAATCACTGTCGCGCTGTGTTATTTTCTTGACATGTTTCCTAGTAAATACCATTTGAAAAAAGAATAATTTTGGTTCCCATAAATATGAACATAAAGAACGGGCGACAAAGAAAACAAATACCAAATATGTAATTAAACACAACAAATAATACCTAACATAAAAAGAAAGCCAAACACAAGTATGTTGCATAAACATATTGGCAGGAAAAGTAAACATATGTTGTGCAAAAACATAGTAAAGTGTAAGCATACCATAAAACTAAACAAAAAACTATACCAAATATCATCTAAGACAAAGGATGTCAACTCCAGTAAATTAGCGGTGGTGGAGCGACCCTTAATGAAGCCATGGAGGCATGGAGAGATGACTGAAGAGCAAAGGTGTTGCAAATGAGGAGTAATTAATTTTTTAAATAACTTTGAAATTGCCGACAATTTAGAGATGTCTCTGTAGTTGGGAGCATCGGACTCTGTCCCTTTTTTATTTAAGGGAATTATGAAAGATTCCTTCCACTTAAGGGGAAAAATCGAGGTTTCCAAAGACAAGTTGAAAAGTCTATGAAAAGGTTTTCACAGAGCCCTGGCACGGTGTTTTAGCAATAGCCTGGTACTCCATCGGCGCCTGGCGAATAAACCCTTTTGGGTTTGACCCTTAGAAGTTCAGATAATAAACTATTCTCGATTTTCTGATTGAATTTTGTATGCCTCAGACTGATCTGTCGTTTCACGCGGAGAATAAGTTGTTTGAAAAATTCTTGCGAATAGATCGGACATGTCCTGATCAGAGGTCGCAGATGAATTTTCATGTCGCAGATGAATTTACATGTTTACGCTTAGTTAAATGTTATAAAACTGCTTCGGATCCGGAGTAAATTGTATCCGGCAGCGACGAATATAATTCCTGTAACATCCAGCGTGATGCACGGTAAAATTTAACCGACCTAGTAGATATCTTGAAAAATCTATACTACTGTAGGTTTTTTTATATTTAAAAAAGAGCCTGTTTTTAGTGTTTTTTTTTAAGTTTGTGAGACACCTTGTAAGCCGAGAAGGATTTGTTGATGCGGACGGATATTTCCATGGCTTACATGGGTAAAAAAATGTATTTAAGGTATGGTAAAATTTTTCTTAGGTGACATTTAGATCGGTGCATCAAATGTATCGATAATGCTAATAAGTTTGTGAAAATCAGCTTTACGGAAACAGCGAATCTGATTTCCCACGCTACCAGAAGACTTCTGATCGATACCAGAAATGGTTTCGATTGAAACCTTAAGCGTGGGGTAATATGGATCCTCTAGGTTTGAAAGGGTCAAAGCTCTGAAAAGAGTGGTACCAGATACAAAACATAAATCTAAAAGCCGAGCTAATAAATTTCTAACATGGTTAATTTGACCTAGGGACATGTCAAACATGCCCGCGGTGAAGTCATGGTCCATGATAAGTGATAAATTGGTGAGCTATCGACATAAGATTCCAATTTAATTCTGGAACTTTTAAGGTACCCAGAGCTACGAGGTGGTTACGATCGGTCATAAGATTAAAAACGGATTGAACAGCGGACAAATGATGCCAGTGTGTGGGCGGTTCAGACGAAGGTGGTATATATGACCATGTAATGTATAAAGATTTAGCGGACAAAATGATTTTAATTCAAATAAATTCTATGTCACCAAACTGTTTTGATTTCACCTCTTCAGAAGCAAGCAAGCAAGGGAGTCTACTGAAAAGAGGACTCTACCCACCACCCTTCGCAAAGGTCGATCAGGTCTAAAAGTGGTATACTTACTTGGAAAATTTTCGGAGCTAAAGATCTCCGGCTTTAACCAAGTTTCTGTTAAGGCTATAATATGGGTTGCAAAGAGAGAACTATCAGAATATAGTTTAAGGAGTTTGCTACGTAGCCCACTAGTATTCTGATAGGTAAGTGTTAGGGAGGATATTAGTTTTTTGAATTAGTGGGCGAAGAAAAGGTGGAATGTTGGTCAGTGATTCTAATATGTGGAAGTTTCGCTCCCACTGGTTTTAAAACTTTTTTCTTTAGGGTACTAGGCGGATGTTCTTGGACCAAAATGTTTTCTGGCCAAAAACTGGTTGAACAAATCGTCTTGAACATCATCATATACATTAAGAAATTGTTGAATTCAAACGGTATATGTATATACACATATGCATCGCGGCCTTATAAAGGGATATTTAATCCATTTGTAAGTGTTTTAAACCTATCCTAAGCGACCATAGTCGAGCCGGGATTCCTTATATTGCTCCAACATTTAATTCATTTCTGCCAAACTGGACTCAAAAACTTCCTCTTACATTTGCAGGTCGGTGCCAATCCACTCCAAGTTCCGTCGCGTCTGCATGTCCGTTCCACTTGACCGAGCAATGAGTGGCCCTTGGGGCAGGCGTATTTTATATTCTCCCCCAGAGTGAATTTCTTGCCCATGACAGTAGTGTTTTGCTTAACATCCGGCGACCCGCAAGAAAACGGTACTAACGGAAAGACAATATGTGAAGACATGGCACTCACACTAAGTTCTGTGGCTACTCACTGTGCTGGCAGATAAAGTGCAAGTAGTCCAAGTTGCAACCGACATCGTTCCACAACCAGTTGCGACCTCCATCTAACACCACACAGTTCTGTTCTCCGTTGTAGTTGTTTGGTTGGTCCTTTCCCCAAGTAGGCTTTTGCACCACTTCACCTAGAAGGCAAAGAAAAGCATTAAATGAAAACATTTTTATTCAGAAAATATATATAAAACAGGGGTGGGCAAGCCCATGGCTCCTCCAAAAACAATGCTACACAAATTCCGAGGCAGGTAGCGGGCCCGACCCCGCGGTCCCGAGTTTGCAACAACAATTATTAAGAGTCCGTTTGCGCACAACGCGACGCGACGCAACCATCGCGAGGGTGGTGGTTGTTGTTGTAATTTGTTGTTTGGCCGAACTGCGGCTCCGACCGTTAGATTTCGTGCCCACCACTGATATAAAATAATAAAAAAATTTATAGCTAACTTCTAGCGGAGCCGAATTTGATATACCCTTGCAGTTAAGATCGGATATGAATCCCAAATATTAAATATTTTGGGCCGATCGTTATGCGAATTTTAATTTAAAATTAAATTATTAGAATACATAATTTAAAAAAATTCTCAAGCTTCTATCTTCAAAAATACCAAAGTTGGTATATTTAACAGATGCCATATTCCTATTGTTCAGTTATATGGCGGTTATAAGATGTAGACGGCCGACCCCAATGAAATTTGGTGGGTTTAATCAATTGGAAAAAAATAGAATCTATAGTTCAAACTTTTTATCTTTAAAACCACGAAATCACACGTTGGATCATTTCCGATCTTGCAGTTATAGGATATAGTCCATAGGATTTAGGCGGCCTATCCTTATGAAATTTGGCATGTTGTATTATTCTGCCAAAAATTTGGTATGTCGTATTATTTTTCCAAAAATAAAATCCATAGGAAATCCCAATCCTTAAAACATTAAAGTTATAGAATTTCCGGTTAAGTTACATGGTTACATGGCAAATATAGTAAATAGTCGGCCGAACCTTTCTGTTCCGACTTAAGTGCAAAGAAGGGTGTTTGCAAAGTTTCGAGTCGAGAGCTTTAAATCTGAGAGACTAGTTCACGTAAAAACAGACCGACGGACATGCTCATATCAACTCAGGAGGTGGTCCTGATCAGGAATATATATACTTTATAGGGTTCAAAATTATATAATAATAATTAACCTCTGAAAGAGTATAAACAGTGTAGAACAAATGTTAGTTTTATTTAAGTAACTACCATCTTGAATTTTGGAGATTCGGGATGATGGAAACAAATTGATTGATGGAAACAAATTAGTGCACACAGACAAACAGAAGAGGAAGAAAATAATTTAGAAGAAGAAGAAAAAAAAAATGATTTTTTGGTTCGGTTTTTCTTAAATAATTTCTAAACAAAAAATTGGATTGGGATAATTGAGGATTCAATCGACGCGTATTTAAAATAAAAATGTTATTAGTCTGGAGACTCTAATGTCCCCACCACCTTTATTAGTATTAAACTTGTAGTAGGTCTTTACCTATACAGATCACAGACCGGAAAAACACTATTACTGGATAAAACTTCTTACCGTTCACCCATTTCCAGGTCCGAGACGTAATCCCAGGCTCCTTCTGGGCTCCAATCCAGACAAGCTGCGGCTTCAGTTCAGTCTTGCGTCTCTCCAATTCGGACAGTATATACTGTCTTGTGGCGCCTCTGAAATCGTAAGCCAAGTCGCCACCTATTGATAATGGCCGGATGCTATTAGTTTCTGGTTGCGGTTTAACACACCAAATACGAGTATAACACTGGTAATTAATACTTACCAGTTTGCCTGCAAATGGCTTGAGCTCTATCAAAACTCTCTCCTTTTGTAATGTGGAAGTCGTAGCAGGTTTTGGAGAACGTTGTCACTACAGTGTCTACTCCGAGCTTGGGGCTCAGGCAGCGGTCCACGGAGAACTCGTCATTAGTAAAAGTCTCTACCTCGCACAAGCTCAGACTGCCCTCCACCCCTACCAACTGAATGACCACAAATTGCCCGACCAGTGGTCGGGCACACGTAAAAGTCTTCACGACGCCCTCATCCAAGGTTCCAGGATACCAGGCACACAAAGGATTTCGCTGCAAGTCAGCGCTGCTATTGCCCACACGGATCTCGAGATCCTGCAATGGCTGGTGTCCGCAGCATCCGCGAGTCGTGATCCGCACAACATGCACCGTTTGCGGCGTTAGAAGGTCAACACGCCACCAGGGTGACGGCTCCTTTTGGGTCTCCGAGCACTCTTGGCCATCAGGATTCTAAAAATGCAAAAAAAAAAACTTGATTACGATTTATGAAAAGCATGAAATTTAAGAACTAAGACCATGGAAAAAATCTTTCGTCTATTACACCCATTTCTTTTTTGATTACATTTTTCCATAAATCCAAAGCTTTTATATGGTTACTTTTATATAAAACATAAGTCTAAACACTTTTCCCTTATGGAAAAGTAAAGGACTCACTTTGTTGCCTGGCTTGCCGTCATTGGCGTAGCTCGCAGGACCACTGCGAGTGTAGGAGCTCTGGTTGACAGGCTTTCTGTACGCCACATTAACTCCGCAGAAGGGAAGTTCTCTTTCCCATCCCGTCCGATCGTCACACTTGATCGAAGTAGGCCCAAACAGCTCGTAACCGGTATCGCACTCGTAAAGAGCTTCTGTAATTCCAGAATTTCCCAGTACTGTTCGTACTTTGGAATTTAGCGGCACCGCCGGAGGACCGCAAACTGAAAGGAGCATGAAGTCATTAAATCATTCAATAAATTTCAAGACCATGATAAAATTCGAATTTGGTAGAGTGTATACAATTATAGATAAATATTAACTTAATATTGTAGTTTTTTTAAAAGTGCTTAGCTTTGAATTGTAAAGATTAAATTTTCGATTCTATAAAGTACACGCGTAAATAATTTATTTGAAGCACCTTTTCAGTCGATATTAGCAGGTCCAACAGCGTTTATTACAATACAAAACTTAAAAAATACCATTTCCAATCGTACAATTATATGGACGCTATAAGATATATTCAGCCGATCGTTATGAAATGTGGTAGTTCGGATCAACTGACCAAAAGTAGTACGCAATCTAAGTACGCAATCTAGTCTCTCAGTTTTAAAGCTATCGACTTCAAACTTTGCACACACCCTTTTTTCCTTTGCACGCAGAATATAAGTCGGAACGGCCGGAATCGGCTGACTATATCCTATAGCTGCCATATAACTGATTGATCGGAAGTGGTATAACTTTGGTGTTTTTAGAGTTGGAGAGTTCAAATTTAACACGAGTGCTATTTTTGGTAAAACATTACGACATGCTAAATTTCAGAAGGATCGGCCGACTATATCTTATACAACGAACGGAAATTACCCAACTTTCGTTTTTTTATACCCTTGCAGAGGGTATTATAATTTTGGTCAAAAGTGTACAACGCAGTGAAGAAGACATCTCCGACCCTATAAAGTATATATATTCTTGATCAGCATCACCTCCTGAGTTGATATGAGCATGTCCGTCTGTCCGTCTGTCCGTCTGTCTGTCTGTTTCTACGCGAACTAGTCTCTTAGTTTTAAAGCTATCGACTTGAAACTTTGCACACACCCTTCTTTCCTTTGCACGCAGTATACAAGTCGGAACGGCCGGGATCGGCCGACTATATCCTATAGCTGCCATATAACTGGACGATCGGAAATGACCCAACTTTTGTGTTTTTGAAGATAGAAAGGTGGAATTTAGTACAGATTCTATTTTTGGTCAGTTGATCAATTTACCAAATTTTATTAGGATCGGCCGACTATATCATATAGCTGCCATATAACTGACCGATCGGAAATTACCCAACTTTCGTGTTTTTGAAGATAGAAAGCTGTAACTTAGTACTGATTATATTTTTGGTCAGATAATCCGACCTACTCAATTTCATAAGGATCGGCCAACTATAGCTGCCATATAACTGAACGATCCAAAATGTTTTTTGGTAGAAATACCAACTTTGGTATTTTTGAAGATAGAAGTTTGGGACTTATTTTTAGATTTTATATTATAATAAATTGGGTTATATTATTTTATTCTCATAAGGATCGGCCAACTATATCCGATGTTTGCGATATATATACGGTTTTAACTGCAAGGGTATATCAACTTCGGCTATTCCCCCGAAGTTAGCTTTCCTTTCTTGTTTTCCATTGCTTTTGCAATAAACAATAGAGTTAAAGCCAAATTGTGTAAAAATTTTAAAAGTCAGATTCCCATCATCATTGCATATACATACATACATATATGCGATTTTTTTTTGACACAATAGAACTTTCCCAGAGTTGATCTTTATGTAAAATGTATACATAAGAACATTTATGAAAATTTTAGAAATATAGCTGCATCTCAAAAATTTTTGCCGGAAATTAAATCCTATTAACGATGGGAATGGGGGCACCAGTTGGAAAATTTTGTATTCCCGCTTACCACGAGGTCAAGTCGAGGTCAAAATCGGGGCGGGAGTGGGACACGCCTAATTTGCTTCAAAAAAACCCCTCTCTTGTCTCGTTTGCAAGTTATCAATTAATGCTAGGAAAATTACAATAAAAATAAAAAATTACAATATAGATAAAAGTATGTATAAACATAAAGAAAGTGTATAAACATCTCGAGTTACGTTGATGATTTCATTTATTCCCATGCAAAAGGCAGTTTTTTGCAAAAAATTTGGAATTGTTGCCATCCTGTTTAACCGGAGATATGATATTGCTACACTTGTGAAAGGGATAATTAATCCTTGAGCCCGACCGCCCTTTTCCATGAAGGGTAAAAATTAGTGAAACAGCCAGCAGTCGCTTAAAGACCATATTTGTATGTACGATGTTAAATGGGTTAGGAAAGCGATTGCAGGTTGGTCGCGTAACCATTACAAAGGTTTCCCAAATACCGTTATGACAACAGCGACCACTACACAAAGAGTACGGGATTTATATTTTCTGCACGTAGAAGAGCGTAATGCATACAACTTGTCAGCCGGGTTAACATTTTAGCTTTTTAATAGCTAGATCTAACCTTTTGGAAATTGGACCCTATATACATTTAAGTAAAATTCTGATAACATAATAAAAGAAATGTAAACAAGAAAGGAAAGCTAACTTCGGGCCGAAGTTGATATACCCTTGCAGTTAAAGCCAGATATGTATATATCGCAAACATCGGATATAGTTTGCCAATCCTTATGAAAATATCATAATAAAACCAATTAATTACAATAAAAAATGTAAAAACAAAAAAAACTCAAGCTTCTATCTTCAAAAATACCAAAGCTGGTATTTCTACCAAATACCATTTCTGATCGTTCTGTTATATGACAGATATACAATATAGTCGGCCAATCCTTACGTATTATTTTGCAAAAAATAGCATTCGTACGAAATCTGAACTCTCTAACTCTAAAAACACCAAACTTATACCATTTTCGATCAATCAGTTACATGGAAGCTATAGGATATAGTGGACCGATCCCGGTCGTTTCGACTTATATACTGCGTGCAAAAGAAAGAAGGGTGTGCGCAAAGTTTCAAGTTCATAGCATAGCTTCACTAAGAGACAAGTTTGCGTAGAGACAGACGGTCATCCTTATATCAACTCAGGAGGTGATCCTGATCAAGAATATATATACTTTATAGGGTCGGAGATGTCTCCTTCACTGCGTTTTGCACTTTTGGACAAAATTATAATACCCTCTGCAAGGGTATAAAAATCCAGCATTTTAAAAATCATGAGTTAGTCTTAATCAAATGCAAAATATTTTACTCTTGCTTAAGATTTTAATTAAGAAGCTTTATATGTTTGCATTTAGTTCTGTAGCTGTGTACCGATAGTGTAGTGTACAAATATAATATTGATTTATATTTATATTTAGATTGAATAATTCTAATAAGGAAGTCTTTAAAATAGACGATATGTCAATTACGATTACTTTATAAAAATTCTTAACATTTGCTATTTATTTTCAAGTTTGCATCCTTAATTCTTAATTTTATTAATAAAAAAGATTTTACAAGTTTTTTAAATATCTTCCAACATAGCTTTTGCAGCACATGAGATTGTGACAACACTGCCAACAGAGTCAAAGCAGTACACGCTCGTTTTTATCACGTATCTAAAACTTGGGAAACTGGTAAGGCAAGAATCCCAAAAGCCAATTGGCCTCATGCTCTCAGCTTGGTCATTTGTTTACATATGGCCAGACGTCATCGTACCACTGACCGGAAACTTTCACTTCTCTTGGCCAGCTGTTTTTCTCTTTCTATTCGGATATCTCAAATCGATTCCGTTCTGAATTTTTAAATTCCACATACTTATGTACATACATAGCAAAGTTGGTATTTCTACCAAATACCATTTCCGATCGTTCAGTTATATGGCAGCTTTAGAATATAGTCGGCCGATCCCGACCGTTTCGACTTATATACTGCATGCAAAAGAAAGAAGGGTGTGTGCAAAGTTTCAAGTCGACAGCTTTCAAACTGAAACAGTAGTTTGCGTAGAAACAGACAGACAGACTCAGGAGGTGATCCTGATCCAGAATATATATACTTTATAAGTGTGTTTGCACACGGTTTAATATGATGTAAAATACCGGTGTAAAAAGTCGATGACGAACCTGCAATCCACGCCCAAAGTTCTTAAATGCATTTTTGTGACAAAACAATATTATACATACATAAAATTATAGAAATACACAATAACAGGAAGGGAAAGCTAACAGGAAGCTTCGGCTCCGCCCGAAGTTGATATACCCTTGCAGTTAAAACCGGATATATATCGCAAACATCGGATATAGTTGGCCGATCCTAATGAGAATATGATAATATAACCCAATTTATTATAATATAAAATCTAAAAAACGTCCCAAACTTCTATCTTCAAAAATACCAAAGTTGGTATTTCTACCAAAAACCATTTCCGATCGTTCAGTTATATGGCAGCTATAAGATATAGTCAGCCGGTCGTTATAAAGTTTGGTAGGTTGGATCAACTGACCAAAAATAGAAGCTGTACTAAATTCCGCCTTTCTATCTTCAAAAACACGAAAGTTGGGTCATTTCCGATCGTTCAGTTATATGGCAGCTATAGGATATAGTTGGCCGATCCTAATGAAATTTGGCATGGCGTAATGTGTTGCCAAAAATAGCTCTCGTGTCAAATTTGAACTCTCTAACTCTAAAAACACCAAAGTTATACCATTTCCGATCAATCAGTTATATGGCAGCTATAGGATATAGTCAACCGATCCGGGCCGTTCCGACTTATATACTGCGTGCAAGGGAAAGAAGGGTGTGTGCAAAGTTTCAAGACGATAGCTTTAAAACTGAGAGACTAGTTCGCGTAGAAACGGACAGACAGACAGACGGACATGCTCATATCAACTCAGGAGGTGATCCTGATGAAGAATATATATACTTTATAGGGTCGGAGACGCCTCCTTTACTGCGTTGCACACTTTTGGACAAAATTATAATACCCTCTGCAAGGGTATAAAAACAGCAATAGAAAAATGCAAAGACAGTCGGTTATTAAGGATGTAGTCTCATGTGTGAGGTTGAAAAAATCGATTTTTTTTCACATATTTCGATAGTATTGTTTATTAAGAATGTACTGCTAAAGTTTCAAATAAAAATATCAAATAATGACAGAAATACAGCCCATAATCGAGAGCGCGCCTACACCCTTGCAGAGGGTATTATAATTTTGTCCAAAAGTGTGCAACGCAGTAAAGGAGACGTCTCCGACCCTATAAAGTATATATATTCTTGATCAGGATCACCTCCTGAGTTGATATGAGCATGTCCGTCTCTCAGTTTTAAAGCTATCGACTTGAAACTTTGCACACACCCTTATTTTCTTATAGCTTATCCTATAGCTGTCATATTGATTGATTGGAAATGGTATTACTTTGGTTTTTTAAAGTAAGAGAGCTCCCATTTTACATGAGAGCTATTTATGGCAAAATAATACGACCCATCAAATTTCATCAAGATCGGCCGACTATATCCTGTCATATAACTGAACGATCGGAAATGACCCAACTTTCGTGTTTTTGAAGATAGAAAGCTGTAAATTAGTACAGATTTTATTTTCTGGTGAATCTGACCTACCAAATTTCACCAAACGATCCGCCGACTATATCTTATAGCTGCCATATAACTGAACGAAAGGAAATGGTATTTGATAGAAATATCAACCTTGGTATTTTTGAAGATAGAAGCTTGGGACCTTTTTTTAAAATTTTTATTTTAATAAATTTATTACATTATGATATTTTCATAAGGATCGACCAACGATATCCGATGTTTGTGATATATATCCGATTTTACCTGCTAGGGTATATCAACTTCGGCTCCGCCCGAAGTTAGCTTTCCTTTCATGTTTTTATGGATATTAAATATTTTGGGCGTGGCTTCCGAGTTCGTCACAGGCTCTTCAAGAGGTTTTTATACCCCTGCAGACGGTATTATAATTTTGTCCAAAAGTGTGCAACGCAGTGAAGGAGAAATCTCCAACCCTATAAAGTATATATGTATATTCCTGATCAGGATCACCTCCTGAGTTTATATGAGCATGTCCGTCTGTCTGTCTGTTTCTACGCGAACTAGTCTCTCAGTTTTAAAGCTATCGACTTGAAACTTTGCACACACATTCTTTTTTTTGCACGTAGTATATAAGTCGGAACGGCCGAGATCGGCCGAATATATCCTATAGCTGCCATATAAGTTATTGATCGGAGATTCTGCAACTTTGGAGTTTTTAGAATTAGAGAGTTTGAATCGGATATGGTTGACCGATTCTTATGGGTATTGAAGTATTTGCCAATTTTAGTATAATCTGAATTATGAAAAAGGTAAAAAGTTGTATCTCCATTATCATGCAATTTATAGTATATCCGAGGTTTATAAGCACTATAGGTTATAGTCAGCCGATCCTTATAAAATTAGGCAGATCGGATTAAATGACTAAAAATAGCATCTAAAGAAAGTCTCAACCTTTTGACTCTGAAAAAATACAAAAGTTATGGCATTTCCTTCAAAGGTATGGTATTTTGACATAATTTGAGTTCAATAGCGTTCAAACTGAGAGAAAAGTATGCTTAAAAGAAAGGCAGGACAGAGGGAAAAACAAACATGCTTATATCGACTTAGGAGGTTGACCTGATGAAGAATAAGAATCTTCACAATATCTCGTTGCTTAAATTAGTTTTGGCCAATATTACAATACATAATATTGTTTGGCCAAAATTACAATACATATGTATTCTAGTATGTATTCTCTAGATAAACCTGTGGTCAATGAGGCAAATATAATTCACTTGGATTCTAAGGCCACTGACTTACTGAAAAATTTTGTGCAAAAAGATGGATTTGGGCCAATGCTACCGGCTGTGGAATGGAGTGGATGAACTTACTTTGGCAATTTCCAGCTGTGCACAACGTCAGCAGTATAATGAGGGGCATTGGATGCGAAAAAGTCGTCACCGTCGCTCCTCTCAAAACTCTGAACAATGACTTGCGACTCAACATTGTTCGCTGGTGGCAGCTGGCGACGTAGCCGATGTTGACGATGTGGTTCCTGCTCCTTAAGTTTTTGCTCATGTTCATTAGCTCGGGGCTACACAGTTGTTTTTGTGGCATAAACAGCGAATAATTTATGCATACACTAGGCAATTATTAATTTTTCTTTGGAAATACACAAGCATAGGTAAAACATGCATATAGTTTGAGCTTCACTTATATATTTTCACTCTTCATTCACATGCCATATATTTTCCATAGCATAATAAATATGATTTCATATTACAGTAAAAAAAAACACAAGTGATTATGCATTGTAGTTGTTAAGAAAAATCACAGTAGTCGGTCGTTGACTCCTTTACCGCTGAAATCAAAACACAACCGCTTTCCTAAGTATGTATACGTAGAGAATCGAATGCGTCGCTTTAAAACTCTTGCCCGATCCAAAATGTAAAAGCAAACTTTAAACGGCTTTCCCCCTTTTTTGGCTTGTAACTCTATCATTAATATTAAAAAATAAAAAATATTGCTCACGAGCACCGGTACTGCCTGGTCGCTTGGTGGTGACTTATTTCGACGTTGTTCTCAAGGTTGCAACAACCACGACTATTTCTTCAGCCAAGGAACATTCATACTATGGTATACTATGGGTACACATCGGGGAGAATTCCACCAAAATAAAGCAAAAACTTTTATTCAGGCATACATGCACCTCCTCCTAATTATCAGCTTTTCTTCAGGTTAATGTCCAGTCTTTGGAAGTCTTTGAAAAGTTTCGAATTAGTTCCTGACTTTGGCACTCTAATTAATATCCGAGTGATAATTAAAACAGAATGGGAAAGTAAACGACGACCGCTTTAATGGCAAACTTGAAGAACTGGATCAAATACTTGTTTTGAATTTTTTTTACACATTTACTTTGTGCTTTAATATGATTTAATGGAGGACCGATTTGGGTTACTCGTCAAAAACCAAACAGTGGGATTGGGCAGACTCACTCTTTGACCAGTTCTCACAAAAAAAATTAAAGACAGAGCTCACAAAAACAAAAACAACACACAAAACAATGAAAAATAAATAAAATATAAGAAACTTTCACGTTGGGGCTGAATTGCACCTTCAGCCCATAAGATGGTAAATTAAAAGGAAAAAAAGATTGGCTACATATGAACGTGAATTCATAACTAATTTTTATGTAAGTTGGCTAAATGTAGCCAAGCACTACACTCTGCACACCGCACACACCAAACCAAACACAACACAGACTTCGGAATTTTAGGTGGCAAAATGCTGCAACTTCCAAACAACAAACCGTCTCGATCCGCTCCGAGCGCTGTTAACGTCTGCTTTGAATGAAAGTTGACTAATAACTGGTTTTCCTTTGGGCCGTTTTAGTTCACAGAAGTTCACGACGCAGTCCAAGTCAGGCCGCCCGATCAAGCTAGATTCGAAGTATTATGAGCTTACTGGGCTTCGGACCAAGTCGGTCCGTCTCCGACTCCGGTTCCGAAGCGGTACGAGCCGTCGCCGTCACAAAAAGGTTAATTCGTCGCTCGACTGGTTCTTGCTAGTTGCACTAAAATAAACACACAATGAAGAGCTGATTTTGAGAGAGTCTAAAATTCAATACCCTTTCCCATAACACAGTGCGACAGTGGTTTGGAACTTTTGAAGAGACCTAGTAGGAATTGTTCATTAGGTCGAGTATAGTATAAAACCATGTTTGAAATTTTTCCTACACCCTCAAATCTTGATGTATTGCGAAAAAACGGTTTTTCGAAAGTGTTTTGCTCTTAAAAATTCCTGAACGCGCAATTTTGGGCCGATTTTCAAGTTTTTTATGTTTTTCAATAGTTAAATGTGGTAGCTTTTGAAAAAAAATACATCTTCAATTTATTTAAACAGAAAGGACACAAATTTTACAAAAGAAACTGACTTTTTTGAATTTTTGTCACGTTTGTCGAACTTTGACGCCATTTTTTCGGTACAACTTCCAAGAAATGGTATCATTCTTAACACATATTAATATTGTCTCATTAATCCTGAATAAAACAACACCAATTTCATTTCAAAATTATGAAAATTGTTGAAGTTATTACGCTTTTCCCAAAACAAGTCAATTCAAATTCGAGCGCACCGTAACAGTATGTAAGTACCAGTATGTAAGTTAACAGAAAGATAGAAACTCAATGGAAGATTATTCTTGTCAGTCTTATTTTTATTGATTTCATAGCTTTTTTTTTCATTTTTAGCATTTTTAAACATTGATAAAAGCTATGAAATCAATAAAAATAAGACTGACAAGAATAATCTTCCATTGAGTTTCTATCTTTCTGTTAACTTACATACTGGTACTTACATACTGTTACGGTGCGCTCGAATTTGAATTGACTTGTTTTGGGAAAAGCGTAATAACTTCAACAATTTTCATAATTTCGAAATTAAATTGGTGTTGTTTTATTCAGGATTAATGAGACAATATTAATATGTGTTAAGAATGATACCATTTCTTGGAAGTTGTACCGAAAAAATGGCGTCAAAGTTCGACAAACGTGACAAAAATTCAAAAAAGTCAGTTTCTTTTGTAAAATTTGTGTCCTTTCTGTTTAAATAAATTGAAGATGTATTTTTTTTCAAAAGCTACCACATTTAACTATTGAAAAACATAAAAAACTTGAAAATCGGCCTAAAATTGCGCGTTCAGAATTTTTAAGAGCAAAACACTTTCGAAAAACCGTTTTTTCGCAATAAATCAAGATTTGAGGGTGTAGGAAAAATTTCAAACATGGTTTTAGACTATACTCGACCTAATGAACAATTCCTACTAGGTCTCTTCAAAAGTTCCTCCAACTTTTCTTTTTTTGTCGCACTGTGTAATGTATGTGTGCCCTGGTACACACATATAAAAATGTAACATTTAATTTTTTATATTTAGATTCGCCGATACATTCATTTTCATCTTTCTCTCAGCTCAGCTACTAAAAAATAACACGAACAATTTCCTTATAAATAAACACTGGAAGTTTTCTTTTTTTAAAATAATAAGTCATTTTAATCTGTTTAATGGATATAGACAAAATAAAAATACTTTAAAATGTAAATTGAGATTTCAGGGATATATATAATACGGAAGTCAATGACAAAAATATAAAGAATCAAACCAAAAGATAAAAATATTTATATTTGTTAATATGTATGATAGTTCAAATTATAGGGCAAGATTATAAAGTCATAACGTATGTTGTATTTGGAATGTTATTAGTTTATTATATACCCCTACTTATTGCGTGAAATGATCTTAGATACTATCTAGATTGCGAGTTAGTTGGACTCTTACCCATTTTGTTTTTTCCCTCCCAAAAAATTAACCCGCTATGTATGCAAATTTAAATTAATCCTTTTATTTCCCATTAATGTTTTTTTTGTCATTATTTACTTATATTATTACTTATACCTGAAAATATGCAGCAGTATTTTAAATTAAATTTTTTTAGTGCTTTTATTATGCTTGAATCTTCTATTGTGGAAGAATCGAGGATCCCTTTTAAAAGTTCCAGCCACGTGACATTTACAAACATACATACATAAGTCTAGAAAAAGAAACATTTTTTCTAAATAGGCAACTTTGACTTCCAATAAAGAGACTGAGACTGGAGACTGAATTGATAGTCCTGTGATATTTATACCCTTGGAGAGGAAATTACAATTTTGTCCAAAAGTGTGCAACGCAGTGAAGGAGACATCTCCGACCCTATAAAGTATATATATTCTTGATCAGGATCACGTCCTGAGTTAATATAAGCATGTCCGTCTGTCTGACCGTCTATCTCTTTTTTATGCAAACTAGTCTCTCAGTTTTAAAGCTATCGACTTGGAACTTTGCACACACCCTTCTTTCCTTTGCACGCAGTATATAAGTCGGAACTAATATCGGCCCGGATCGGCCGAATATATTCTATAGCTGCCATATAACTGATTGATCGGAAATTGTATAACTTCGGTGTTTGAGAGCGCTACATGAGCGCTATTTTTGGCAAAATAACACGACATGACAAATTTCGTAAGGATCGGCCGACTATATCCTATAGCTGCCATATAACTGAACGATCGGAAATGACCCAACTGTCGTGTTTTTGAAGATAGAAAACTGGAACTTGGTACAGATTTTATTTTTGGTCAGTTGATCCGACCTACCAAATTTCATAACGATCGACCGACTATATCTTATAGCTGCGATATAACTGAACGATCGGAAATGGTATTGGTAGAAATACCAACTTTTGTATTTTTAAAGATAGAAGCTTGAGTCTTTTTTTTAAGAATTTGTATTGTAATAAATTGGTTATATTTTGATATTCTCATAATGATCGGCCCATATATCCGGTTTTAACTGCAAGGGTATATCAACTTCGGCTCCGCCCGAATTTAGCTTTCCTTTCTTGTTTTAAGTTTTTGTTGAAAAATCACTATAAGTGTATCAAAGCGTCGGTTATACAAAAACTAGTCTGTCTTTTGGTTTTCAAAGTATAATAAATCGCTTACCGCTCGGTGGTCAGCAGCTCGCACTGCTGCCTTCTGGTTTGTCATTGTGACAATGTTGCCGACGCGAAATAAAATCCGTGCACTCACAGACTTTCAACAATGCCCGAGAAAGTGGATCGAAGCGTTTCCTACGCCGACCATGGAATTTTTACAAAATGATCAACCAAAAATGATGAGACCTATAATTTAAATTGTTTTTTTCTACAACATTTACTTATTTTTAGCGCACAAAACATGTAAATTGTGTGATCTAGAATCACTAGAATGTATGTAAATTTTAGGCCTCCTGGTATACCTACAATCCATCAATACATGTAACTGACCTTAAAGCAGTGAGGGGAAAAAAGCACACATGTTTAAAATTTGAGTGTATGCGTAGGAGAACATTCACTGAGCGAAAAAAACGTAGTTTTTGATTTCATTTTTCGTAATAGTGTATAGTGTCAAAATCAAATCAATCACAAATCATTTCAATGTCATTTTATGGCATTAAAATGCCCCTTGTGGGTCAAATCCCATATTATGGGCTTCGCCTTGACCGCAGAAATTAATTTTAATTTGTCCTGGCGCGTCAAAAATTTTTCGGGCCGACTATTTTTTTTTTGATCAATTGACCCTCCATGTCACATCTATAGAAATAAATGAAATTATTTCTTTCAACTCCCCGAGATCAGCTGTTTATTTTTTTTGAACACCATTGAAATCGATAACACAAATTTTCGTCAACTCAGTACCCGCAAAATCTAGAAGGCAAAAATTTCTTCTTCTTCCTTTTTTAACACCGTTTTTTTTTATATGGAGTTTGACAGCTGTCACTCGTTGGACAGCGGATTTTCGTCAACTCAGTACTATGCTTTAAGCCTAGTACTCTGACGACGAAAATCCGCTGTCGAAAATCCACTAGCGAAATCGCACTTTATTCGGCTACCGAGCTAGTGTGACCAAAAAAATTAAGAAAAAGGGTAATACTGAACAGCTGTTGTTTGTAAACAAATAACAAATAAGCAAAAATGAATTCAAAACGATTGGATTGGTTGGTGTTTTGTTTATGTATTTCGCCGCTAAGGAGCTGATTAAGAAAAAGAAAACTGGGTCAAAATCAAAATCAATCACAAATTATTTCAATGCCATTTTATGGCATTAAAATGCCCCTTGCGGGTCAAATCCTATATTATGGGCTTCGCCCTGACCGCACTAATTAATTTCAATTTATCCTCGCGCGCCGAAAATTTTTCGGGCGACTAATTTTTCCTTTCATCAATTTTCCCTCCATGTTTTAGCTATCGAAATAAATAAAATTAATTCTTTCAACACCCCAAAATCAGCTGTTTTTTTTTGATCCGGCAACGCCATTCAATTCGATAGCTAAAATTTTCGTCGTCAAAGTACCGGAAATATCTTGGAGACAAAAATTTCTTCTTCTTCCATTTTTTACACCGTTTTTTTGTACCCTTGCAGAGGGTATTACAATTTTGTCCAAAAGTGTGTAACGCAGTGAAGGAGACATCTCCGACCCTATAAAGTATATATATTGGTGATCAGGATCACCTCCTGAGTTGATATGAGCATGTCCGTCTGTCTGACCGTCTATCTCTTTCTATGCAAACTAGTCTCTCAGTTTTAAAGCTATCGACTTGGAACTTTGCACACACCCTAATTTTCCTTTGCACGCAGTATATAAGTCGGAACGGATCGGCCGACTATATCCTATAGCTGTCATATAACTGATTGATCGGAAATGGTATAACTTTGACGTTTTTAAAGTTAGAGAGTTCAAATTCGACATTTTTTGGCAAAACATTACGACATGCCAAATTTCATTAGGATCGGCCGACTATATCTTATAGCTGCCATATAACTGAACGATCGGAAATGACCCAACTTTCGTGTTTTTGAAGATAGAAAGGCGAAATTTTGTACAGATTCTATTTTTGGGTAGTTGATCGAACTTACCAAATTTCATTAGGATCGGCCGACTATATCCTATAGCTGCCATATAACTGAACGATCGGAAATGACCCAACTTTTGTGTTTTTTAAGATAGAAGTTTGGGACATTTTTAGGTTTTGTATTATAATAAATTGGGTTACATTCTTATAAGGATCGGCCAACTATATCCGATGTTTGCGATATATATCCGGTTTTAACTGCAAGGGTATATAAACTTCGGCTCCGCCCGAAGTTAGCTTTCCTTTTTTTTTTTAAAATATCATCATTTTGTTGTTGTTATTAACTAAATTTTTAAAGCCGCATTTAAAAATATTGGTTTGTTTTTAAGTTATTAATTAACACAAAGAGAGGACAAATTAATTTCTATGCATTGGAACAGTTTGGCATCAAAACATTTTCCAAAATCATTACGAACTGACGCTAGAACGAGATTTTTGTTTTGCGGGCGGGAGTGGGTGTGGTGAAATATTGACACAAACATGAATTGCGCGGATTCCATACGAGCTCAAGTTCCATTTAGGATAACACTATCTTTTAAATTCTCTGAGATTCCCGTGTTCAAAATTTTAACATTTTTTTCAAAAACTTTCCTGTACTTTAGCTACAGAAATTTGCAATTAATGTTTGAAACAAACTTTAACTGTGGGGGCAAGCGAACACAACTTAATAGCGGTTTTATTCCAAATCTTGGAATAGATCACAGAGAGTAACGAATCCATGAACAAAGATAATATTTAAAGATCCCGTTACTTAACCATTCCATTTAGGATTTATCATCATTCAGTTTAACAGGCTCAATGATATACTGGCAAACATTTTTAGGGCTTTTTTTGCAGGTACCGTAAATAATGATTATTGTTATGAATTTTTTGAAAAAATCACAAATCACAGACCGAAAAACATGTTTGACGAGAAAAAAACATTTATTCTTTTCAGTGTGGACGTGTAATTTCAAGTTACACAATACGGACCCTCCCAAAATTTATTTAATTTTAAATAGGTCCTTTGTGGATTTTTAACATACAGTAGCGGACAATGGAATCCGGACTTGCACTAAATGTGAACTTTGCATTAGTGTGGAAGGAGCGCGTGCTATTATATCGAGTTGAAATTTTTTCGATATATCCGTAAGGGTTTAACTTTCATGAAAGTGGGCCAAAATACACCAATCTTGGACTGTACATGATTGACGGAATGACATTTTTTTTAACGACACCAAAATAAGAAAAAATGGCATTCCGTCAATCATGTACATTCAATCACTTTACCCATTTCTGGAGCATTTTTACGGTCTAGACTGGATTTTTCGCAGTTCGCCGGCCATGAAGTCCTGCCTACTTTTGGCTTACAATAGTATGAGCTACGTGCGCCCCAAATGCGACAAACGCTTCAAAAATTATTGCTTACGGCGAACGGTCAGGCAAGGAGCATGGCAAATGGTCTGGGGATGCTTTTTATACTCTTGCAGAGGGTATTATAATTTTGGTCAAAAGTGTGCAACGCAGTGAAGGAGACATCTCCGACCCTATAAGGTATATATATTCCTAATCAGGATCACCTCCTGGGTTGATATAAACATGTCCGTCTGTCTGTTTCTACGCAAACTGGTCTCTCAGTTTTAAAGCTATCGACTTGAAACTTTGCACACTCCCTTCTTTCCTTTGCACGAAGTATATAAGTCGGAACGGCCGACTATATCCTATAACTGTCATATAACTGAACGATCGGAATTACAGATTCTATTTTTGGTCAGTTGATCCGACCTAGCAAATTTCATAACGATCGGCGGCCTATATCCTATAGCAGCCATATAACTGAACGATCGGAAATTTTATTAAGTAAAAACACCAACTTTTTTATTTTTGAAGATAGAAGCTTGAGTCTTTTTTTAAGATTTTTTAATGTAATAAATTGGTTATATTATGATATTCTCATATCACTACGTCCGATTTTTGCGATATATATCTGGTTGTAACTGCATTTGGCTGAGAGTTCGCAAATGAATTTTCAAACGTAAGCACAGGAGAAAACGATACACATGTATGCTTAGTTCTTACAAAGTTATCAAACTCTTCTCGGATTTCCTTTCTTGTTTTTCAATCCAATCTGGACAACATATTTAGGACATCTTAATAGTATGAAATATATTTTTGGTTCAAACTTAAGTCATTAGCTTTAAAATTTTGACCAAAATTTAATTTTTTTAATTTATGATGGCGGAAAGGGTCGAATATTTCATTTATATGTCTGTAACGGAAGCGCATATTAATTACTTCGAAGGTCCAACACCTACCTTCTTATATTGGGAAAATTTTTGGATAGCAATAATCTAAATAATTTTTGATAAGCAATAATTTTTATCCAAGCACTGTCGGTTTGAAAATGTTGTTTGATTTTTGAAACATTTAATTTACAGTAAAAAAAAAATTTTATTTAATAAGTTGGCGCTAAAGGGGACATTGGAGTACAAAAAAAATATTTTTTTTAAATAGCATTTTAATTTGAATACGCATCTATTGACCATCCCAATCCGACATTTTGCAACACATAGTGTTTTTTTCACGCCAAAATTAACTAGAATGAACTATGATTTTATTTTATATGTCGATATTTTTATCGAAATCTAACAAAGTTCCAAATAACTTGCAGAAGGTATTATAATTTTGGTCAAAAGTGTGCAACGCAGTAAAGGAGACATCTCCGACCCTATAAAGTATATATATTCTTGTTCAGGATCACCTCCTGAGTTGATATGAGCATGTCTGTCCGTCTGTCTGTCTGTCCGTTTGTCTGTTTCTACGCAAACTAGCCTCTCAGTTTTAAAGCCATCGACATTGCACTTTGCACATACCCTTCTCTCCTTTGCACGCAGTATATAAGTCGGAAGGGCCCGGATCGGCCGAATATATCCTATAGCTGCCATATAACTGATTGATCGGAAATGGTATAACTTTGGTGTTTTTAGAGTTAGAGAGTTCAAATTTGACATGAGAGCTATTTTTGGCAAAATATTACGACATGCCAAATTTCATAAGGATCTGCCGACTATATCCTATAGCTGCCATATAACTGAATGATCGGAAATGACTCAACTTCCGTGTTTTAGAAAATAGAAAACTGGAATTTAGTACAGATTCTATTTTTGGTCAGTTGATCCGACCTACCAAATTTCATAAGGATCGGCCGACTAAATCTTATAGCTGCCATATAACTGAACGATCGGAAATGACCCAACTTTCGTGTTTTTGATGATAGAAAGCTGGAACTTGGTACAGATTATATTTTTGGTCAGATAATCCGACCTACCAAATTTCATAACGATCGGTTGACTATATCTTATAGCTGACATATAACTGTACGATCGGAAATGGTTTTTGGTAGAAATATCAACTTTCGTATTTTTGAAGATAGAAGCTTGGGACTTTTTTTTAGATTTTTTATTGTAATTAATTGGTTTTATTATGATGTAATCATAAGGATCGGCCAACTATATCCGATATTTGCGATATATATCCGGTTTTAGCTGCAAGGGTATATCAACTTCGGCTCCGCCCGACTTTAGCTTTGCTGTCTTGTTTTGAAGTCTCTTAGCTATATTAACTGATAAAATATTGCATTGCGTTGCCCGAGGTCATAGTTAAAAACTATGACTTACGAAAGAAATTTAGTTGTTTTATTTAATTATTTTTGTTTTATATTTCAACATGTAAATAACGTAAAAACCAAAAACTGTAATAATTGTTTGAAAAAGCTATGTAATAATTGCTAAGTGGGAACAGTCTTATAAAACAATTTGCCTTTGTTTTTGTAATATAACAAACAGTTCGATTCCCAGGTTTGGCTTAACCGTGAGCTGGGAGAAATTTTATATGAAGATGGGGAGAGTAGTTTTGTTACTGTATTGGTAGTAGTAGTTATTCCTCCTGATTCCGCTCTCTGAGTCGATCGGATCGTTTTGTGAAGAGTTATTGTTTTTGGATATTCGTAATAGCCACGGACGCAATCTCAACACCTACATACATATCTAGTAGTCGCGGTCCTAGCCGAGCCTATGCTTCAGATGCCTTGTCCCACCATCGCCGATTCCACCAGAGAGAGGGAGAAGCAAAACGCAGGTAAGCAGAGTTTTCAGGCAAGAGCATGAAATGTGGTTACAGACGGTGAGAATTATTTTTAGTTTTAGTTTGTTTTCGTCTGTTGGTGTGTACAGCGGCATATATTATTTCGTTTAGTTTATTTTTTGTGCTCAATTTTATTGTTTTCTATTTTTTTGTGAGCGTTACAATTGCTTTTCATACTTTGTATTCCTGTTTAATGCGCATCTGAACCCACTTACCCCCCCGCACTCTACTGATCACATCCACTGACTCGAAGAATCGACTTATGTACATATGCCGTGGCCATTGGTAAGAAATGGTTACCCTTTTTGAAAGTTTTGATGTTCTGGCACAGCACTTGGATGTGGCTGTGTATGTAACCACGAGGTCTTGGGCTCTGTAAGTAGATAAAATGTAAAGTTTGGCAACTAAAGATTTAGATTTTACATTAGTTGAATTTAGTTGAATACATTGGTCAGCCTATTACCTAACCCAGTCAATGGCCTGAATAAATTTACATTCAGCGAACCAAAAGTCATCCAGTAATCCAAAAATTTTTCTACCACGACAACAAATTTTCCCTAAAGTCTGAGTTGGCTATATCTATTATTATTTAGGTCTATCTCTAGTTATGATATTAGTTCGTGTGTAAGTCATCAGAGACCAAATATCGTAAAACTAAAAAACAAAAATGTCTTCATCAATGAATAACAGCCCTTTAAAGAGTAAAATAATCTTAGAATATTTTAGAAAGTATTATGCTTTTATTAATAATATTAATTATAAAATTATAAATAAAATAAAAAAAATAGAATAAAATTATTAATTTTAGAATAAATTAATTTTAGAATTCTCGTTAAACTCAATAAAAAGTTTACATAAAAATAAAAAATAAAATATATGTATATAAAATTGATCAAGAATATACAGGCCTATATATAAAGAATATACCTATATAGTATATACCTATGTGGACTAGAACACTGGGTTAAGGTCTTTGTCGATATAACTTGTTGAAAATTGTTCAAAGTTTAAAAACCAGTGCTAAAATTACAAAGAATATAGAATTAAAGGCATTCTCCCAATTCCAGCAAATAAAAACATGGCTATATCACTTGGAAAAGTGAATACACAGGTCTGTATAGGCTACGCCAAACCACCTTGCCCATCAATGCCAACATAGTCAGGAATCATGCCAGGACAACCAATCCGACCAATCAGCACCTACGATAACCTCGGCGCGACTCAACAGCGGCAGTCGCACCTGGACTGTACTTCTACTATGCTTAAACCAGAGCTGGAGTTGGTACTAAGGCCACCAGAAAGTGGAACCAGCAACAGCATAGCCGCAGTGAAGGCGGCACTCAACGACGCCAAGTCAAAGTTCTTCGGGATAAACAGTTCTGAATCAGCAGGGGCTGTCAAACCCGGAACCCAAGTACCAGAATGTTCCGCAGCGTGACTTTCTACTAGAAAAGACTCCGGCTCTTGCCGCAGTGGTAATAGTGTCTACACCTACTACTGTTCCTTTAAAGGACCTGCCGGACAAGACGCTGTTTAATTCTACCGTGTACGAACAGATTCCACTGAGTGACTTGGACCTTTCACAACCATCCCAAGTAAGCTTAAAAAAATTATTGAAGCTTATTTCTAGTTATTGAGGTACCATTCATTTTCTTAAATAGGCCGTGTACATGAGCACCACAGTGCCGCAGAACATGAAAGCTAAGAAGATCGCTGGACGTCATACGCCCACCCGGAACAGCTTAAGGCACAGCCGCATGATTGTTGTGAATCACAACCATGACAGTGAGTTGCTTTTAACTTATTTTATCTTAGAATTAGAATATTGGTTCCATGAATATTCAACGTTCAATTCGCATATGAAATTTCAAAGTTCAATTTCGTATGCTTCATAACCTTTGGTTTTCCCTCCAGCACCTACACGGTTTCACTGTACTATGTATTCCATTTATGTAGAATAATGTGTAACAAACTAATAATTGAGCATACCAAAATTTGCTTTAGTACATACCATTTACGATATGCATATCTACCAAGTAAGTTATTGGCCAATTCGTAGATCAACGTCTCGATTATTACCTATAGCTGCCATAAAATTAGTGTTTTTTAAAATAGAAGCATCGGGCTTTTTTTTATACCCTTGCAGAAAGTATTATAATTTAATTAAAGCTATCGACTTGAAACTTTGCACACACACTTTTTTCCTTTGCAAGCAGTATATAAGTCGGAACGGCCAAGTCGGCCGACTATATCCTATAGCTGTCATATAATTTTGTGAAAGAGTCCGTCTGTCTGTCCGTCTGTCTCTTCACAAAATTTGAACACACCCTTCTTTCTGTTCCACGCACTATATAAGTCGGAACGGCCCGGATCGGCCAACTATATCCTATAACTGCCATATGACTGATTGATCGGAAATGGTATAACTTTGGTGTTTTTAAAGTTAGAGAGTTCAAAGTTTAGAGACTGTTTGTCAAAATACATTTCATATAACATGCTACATTTCATAAGGATCGGCCGACTACTTCCTATAGCTGTCATATAACTGAACGATTGAAAATAACCCAACTTTCGTGATTTGAAGATAGAAAGCTGGAACTTAATACAGAATATATTTTTGGTCAGTTTATCCGACCTACCAAATTTCATAACGATCGGTCGACTAAATCTTATAGCTGCCATATAACTGAACGATCGGAAATGGTTTTTGGTAGAAATACCAACTTTGGTATTTTTGAATATAGAGCCTTGGGGCTTTTTATACCCTTGCAGAGGGTATTATAATTTTGTCCAAAAGTGTGCAACGCAGTGAAGGAGACATCTCCGACCCTATAAAGTACATATATTCTGGGATCAGGATCACCTCCTGAGTTGATATGAGCATGTCCGTCTGTCCGTCTGTCTGTCCGTCTGTTTGTCCGTCTGTCTGTCTGTCCGTTTCTACGCGAACTAGTCTATCAGTTTAAAAGCTATCGTCTTGAAACTTTGCACACACCCTTCTTTTCTTTGCACGCAGTATATAAGTCGGAACGGCCCGGATCGGCCGACTATATCCTATAGCTGCCATATAACTGATTGATCGGAAATGGTATAACTTTGGTGTTTTTAGAGTTAGAGAGTTCAAATTTGACACGAGAGCTACGACATGCCAAACTTCATAAGGATCGGCCGACTATATCTTTGAGCTGCCATATAACTGAACGATCGAAATGACCCAACTTTCGTGTTTTTGAAGATAGAAAGCTGAAACATAATAAAACCAATTAATTACAATAAAATATCTAAAAACAAGAAAGGAAAGCTAACTTCTGGCGGAGCCGAAGTTTATATACCCTTGCAGTTTAAACCGGATATATATCGCAAACATCGGATATAGTTGGCCGATCCTTATGGGAATATGAATATATAATCCAATTCATTACAATACAAAATCAAAACAAGAAAGGAAAGCTAACTTCGGGCGGAGCCGAAGTTGATATACCCTTGCAGTTAAAACCGGAATATAGAATAGAATCTGTACCAAGTTCCAGCTTTCTATCTTCAAAAACACGAAAGTTGGGTCATTTCCGATCGTTCAGTTATATGGCAGCTATAGGATATAGTCGGCCGATCCTTATGAAATTTGGTACGTTGGATCAACTGACCAAAAATAGAATCTGTATTAAATTTCAGCTTTCTATCTTCAAAAAAACGAAAGTTGGGTCATTTCCGATCGTTCAGTTATATGGACGCTATAGGATATAGTCGGCCGATCCTTATGAAATTTGGCATGTCGTAATGTTTTGCCAAAAATAGCACTCATGTCAAATTTGAACTCTCTAACTCTAAAAACACCAAAGTTATACCATTTCCGATCGTTCAGTTATATGACAGCTATAGGATATAGTCCGCCGATCTTTACGAAATTTGGCATGTCGTATTATTTTGGCAAAAATAGCGCTCGTGTAAAATCTCTCTAACTCTAAAAACACCGAAGTTATACCATTTCCGATCAATCAGTTATATGGCAGCTATAGGATATAGTCGGCCGATCCGGGCCGTTCCGACTTATATACTGCGTGCAAAGGAAAGAAGGGTGTGTGCAAAGTTTCAAGTCGATAGCTTAAAAAATGAGAGACTAGTTCGCGTAGAAACAGACAGACAGACGGACAGACGGACATGCTCATATCAACTCAGGAGGTGATCCTGATCAAGAATATATATACTTTATAGGGTCGGAGATGTCTCCTTCACTGCGTTGCACACTTTTAACCAAAATTATAATACCCTCTGCAAGGGTATAAAAAGAAAAAGGAAAAGATATATGTATTCTATGAATAGTCTTTTGTTTTAATTCTCCATTGGAATCTCCAAACGGTTTGTTGAAACTGATTCATAAGGTTATTCTTAAATTTTATGATGAACAATTAAAACCAACACCCACACTCATTAGAATAAACCATCATAAAATTGGCATAACCATATTGTTTGTCCGAAAAATAAAAAATCGCTAAAAAATGTCAACTTATTTATGTAATTAGATCGATGATTTCTATGACATCGAACTTATAAACTACAATTTGTCAAGCATTCACTCTTTTTTTAAGCAATATCAAAACAAACAAGAAAGAAAAGCTTACTTCGGGCGGAGCAGAAGTTGATACCCTTGCAGTTAAAACCGGATATATATCGCAAACATCGGATATAGTTGGCGGATCCTCATGATTACATCATAATAAAACCCAATAATTACAATAAAAAATCTAAAAAAAGTCCCAAGCTTCTATCTTCAAAAATACGAAAGTTGGTATTTCTACCAAAAACCATTTCCGATCGTTCAGTTATATGGCAGCTATAAGATATAGTCGGCCGATCGTTATGAAATTTGGTAGGTCGGATTAATTGACAAAAAATATAATCTGTACCAATCTGTAATCTAATTCTGTAAAACACGAAAGTTGGGTCATTTTCGATCGTTCAGTTATACCATTTCCGATCAATCAGTTATGCGGCAGCTATAGGATATAGTTTGCCGATCCGGGCCGTTCCGACTTATATACTGCGTGCAAAGAAAAAGAGGGTGTGTGCAAAGTTTCAATAGCTACTGGGAGACTAGTTTGCGTAGAAACAGACAGACGGGCAGACAGACGAACAGACGGACATGCTCATATCAACTCAGGAGGTGATCCTGATCAAGAATATATATACTTTATAGGGTCGGAGATGTCTCCTTCACTGCGTTGCACACTTTTGGACAAAATTATAATACCCTCTGCAAGGCTATAACAAAAAAGGACAAGAAAGGAAAGCTATCTTCGGGCGAATCTGAAGTTGATATTCCCTTGCAGTTAAAACAACATCAAAAACATCGGACATAGTTGGCCGATCCCTATGAGAATATCATAATCATATCAATATCATAATCCATAAACCAATTAATTACAATAAAAAATCTAATGAAAAGACCCAAGCTTCTATCTTCAAAAATACCATAGTTGATATTTCTACCAAATACCATTTCCGATCGTTCAGTTATATAAAATTTGTTGCGTTACTTTTTATTATTTTATTATTTTCCCAAAAATTGATCTCATGTAAAATCTGAGCCAACTCTAAAAACACTCCAAATCAGTTATATGGTAGCTATAGGATATAGTCGGCCGATCCCGGTCGTTCCAACTCATCTACTGCGCGAAAAAAAAAAGAGAGATGGTGTGACCTCTCCAAAAGTATAAAAACTCGAAAGTCTTTTTATATGAGACTCTATTATAACAGAATGGTTAGTAAAATTCTAAATACATTTTATAGAAAGAACGCGTTTTAGTGAAAGAGTTCTTATCTCTATTTTTCTTATAGCGGGAAGAAATAGAGTATGTCATTCCTTGCTTAGTTTTATTTTTATGGAATCCGTTGGAAACATTTTATTAAATTTATTATGCTACAGAAAATAATATCTGTTTGGTCAGTGATATTTTTCAATGACAGTATTTACGGATGTATTTAATTTTGAAAAGTTACATAAAATTTTTATTTGGTCGAATTTGGGAATATACAAAAGAACGCCAATTTGGGGTGCGAGCGCAAAATGATAACGAACGAGAGTGTGCCCGCCTTAGATTATAGGCTGAGCGGATTCTCGCTAGCTTGAGATGCTAAATTAGTTGAATCCGAGGGGACGTGAGTCGGCTTGCGAGCAACAATGCGTACATTATTAATTCATTATTTAAACCTAACAGTTGTTTGCTGCTTGACCCGACGATCTTCCCCCTGTTGAGGCTTCTACTACAACTTCATTCTTAAGGGGCAACAGGCACAGCTTAGACACTGCGCGCTTGGTAACGTTAGATGAGGTTTCAATAACCGCTACTCATCGGCGGTAAGTTCCCGCCCTTGACTAGCACCACATCTTTCAGGGCCAAGGAAGGACCGGAGGGACGTCATTTGGAGCGCTGCTGAAGAAGGTTTAGGCAAAGATTATAAAGTACATAGATGGGACATCAGGGCCCAAAACGGTCAACTTTTTGCGTCGAGCTTGTTGGTGAGGGGGGAAACGCACATGCATACGATTCTATTTTTAGAACTCTTTACATGTACCCGTCAACAAAAATGTGAACCTATGTGTGTATGTGTGACTGCTCGCACGACGGAGTAAAAATGTTTTGGCTTCCAAATTTCAATTTCAATTTCTCGTTTCTGTTTTCGATGCGCCGATGTGGTAGTTGGTAGAACAAATAGTATTTTTGATCGCCGCAAAGGATGGTAGCGTAATGCATAGAGTAGTATATCTATGTTTAATTTTTCTGTGT